CGACTGGCCCTCACAGACTCCACCACTCTCAGCCAGTTTGCAGCTGCTGTGGCTGCCTCACCTAACACCATCACCTTCCTGTCAGCCGCCTTGCTGGGTGACCAGCCCCTTCTGACCTGTGACATCCTTTCTCTCTTAGCCCATGCAGCCAGAGTCTGGCCTCCCACCCACTTGCTTTTCCTACAGGGCCTCTTAGCTGGGCCTGATGAGTCCTACTGGCCCCTTCGCTGCCTCCTGGGCCACCCAGAGAATCTGGTCCGTGCCCGGGCCTATGGCCTCTTGGGCCACTTACTACAGCACAGCACTGCCCTTCGGGGGGCCCTCCAGAGCCAGGCAGGACTGATAAGCTTGCTTTTGGCTGGGCTAAGGGACAGGGACTCTGCTGTCCGCCGCAGTGCCAGCTTTGCTGTTGGAAATGCAGCCTACCAGGCTGGAGCCCTGGCACCAGCTCTCGTGCCTGCAGTGCCCAGGGTAATCCAGCTGCTGGGTGATCCTCAGACTGGGACCCGGCGCAATGCGGCCTCCGCTTTGGGTAACCTGGGCCCCGAAGGGCTAGGGGAGGAACTACTTCGGTGCCAGGTGCCCCATCGGCTCCTGGAAACTGCGTGTGGAGATCCACAGCCCACGGTGAGGGAAGCTGCCCTCATCGCCCTTCGGAGCCTCAGACAAGAGCCTTGCATCCACCAGGTGGGTCCTCGGGGACTGGCAGTCAAAACTCTCAGCTCCTGTGTTGGCCACGCGACCTTGCAGACAGCCACGGTGGAGGGAGATCTGGGGCTGGAAACCTAGCTTGTGCTTGGCTATAAAAAAACAAAAATGAGGCTATGGATCAGGAAAGAAAGCCCAGGGATGGAAAAGGAAATGGGGCATCAGAGTCTTCTGTTCAGTCTCTCGTCCTGAGGGAGAGAAGAGTCCTAGAAAGTGAGAACGTCAGGCTGAGATGCATCTGGGGCATGGAAGTCAGGGAGAACAAGGGCCATGGAGCTCAACACTGGGTCACTGCCACTGCTGGTTCTCCTTTTTTCCTTGTGGAGAAAGGATATCTCCTTTAGCGCCTCAGTGTCTCTGTTTAATAGCACAAAGGAGAACAGGTCCCTTGTCCCTCCTAGTCTCTTAGAAATGAATCTGAACTCTAGAGTTCTTCCTCCTCTTCCCCATGGCCTCTTCCAAGCATATTCCATTCCTTAAGGACCCATTACACATCTCCATTTATGGTATATAACGCACCAGAGGTGGCCAAGATTTGCCACGCACGCCCCATCTTTGTTACCTCACCAGCCACAGCTACAGTGACATTACATTAATAATCAGGCTTCTTTGATTGGTTCCTCAGTTAAAATGTTCCATTCTTATCTGTAATGGGGGAGAAGGAGTATAGGGGCCTAACCCACCTCTCAAGGGAGTGAGGCGTTGTCCCCTTTATCTTGTGGGAACCTGAATCTTCTCGTGATATGCATCTCCTGACATTTCAGAGTTAGTAATAAGACCACAAAGCAAGGATAGAGAAAAAGGAAGAGACTTACTATGAAAGCCAGCCAAAGGCAGGGCGACTTTGAGTAGGGAGGAGTTACCCTGACAGCTTGTTCTTTCAATCCGTTCTACTTCTAGGTGTTGGTGTCCTTGGACGCCAGTGAGAAATTAGCTTCTCTCTCTTCATCCGGCCCACTACCTCCCTACAGTAGTGGTAGTCCCCGACCTTCTTCTGCCAGACACTGCAAGAAACTCATCCACCTGCTGAGACCAGCTCATAGCACATGAGCCTGAAATCTTGGGGCCCAAGCCACCAGCCTCCTCAGACACCTAGGAGGTCTTTCCCTATCTACATCTGCCTGTTCCTTTCACTTAAACCACCAATTTACCAAGAGGCCAGAAGAGGGAGATATGGGCTTTTGATGATCACAGATCCACCATGATCCCAATTAGAAAAGCCTAATTTTTCCCTCCAGCCACACGGAGATTTCTGTCTTCTCAGGACAAAATCAGACTTCTTGGGCCCTGTACATCTTCCGGTCTTGGCAGCTCTGTCGGTTCCACGAGACACTTATTTCTTGGGCTATATTATTCTCCCCAATAAAGTAACTTTAATCCCAGGAACTAATTTCATGGACTCAAGGGAACCCACCTCCTCATTGGAGCTCCAAACTCGTTTCTCCTCTGAAGGGTCTTCATTCTAGTCCCAATAGGGTTCTGCTTTTGGTGTGCCAGACCCCATGTCATGAGCTGGGAGCAGGGTCTATGTTCAGTTCTGGGGCATGTTTATAAATACCTGTGCGTCTCTCTGTCCCTGGGGGCCATCCCACTGACCTCTAGTTTCCACTTTTTACTCCAACACCTGGCCCCTGTTTTGTACTCATGTTTCCATCTATGGTTGAGGGGTGTTGTGTCAATTTTTTTGTAGCCTTGTTTGTAAAGTCTTTTAATAAAAAAGTGCTTCTCATTCCTCCTTCTATGAATTTCTTTAAGTTTTCCTGAGTTCATATTTCTCTCCCTGGTTTCTCAAAAAATACATTCAGTTAGCACATCAATAATTATGACCCAGCTGTCTATAGTGCTGGTGGTATGTATTTGGGGGAGGGTAGCAGAAGATGTTACTGGAATGATTGCTATCACTAGAGCAGGTGAAATGAACGGTCATAACTTCCGATGCACCTGTTTTAAGAAGTACAGTATTTTTGAGGCAGCTAGGTGGTGAGGCGCAGTGGATAGAGCACCGACCCTGAAGTCAGGAAGACCTGAGTTCAGATTCGGCCTCAGACCAAACACCTGACATGTACTAGCTGTGTGACCTTGGGCAAGTGACTTAACCCCAATTGCCTCACCAAAAAAATCAATGAACAGAAAAAGAAGTACAGTATTTTTAACAAGAGATGTTTGGAGAAAAGAAAAGAGCTTGTAGGAAAGTAGATTTGAAGTGAACACAATATAAGGTTTCCACAGGTGCAGCTGGCCAGTTTTAGTCTACTTTGTTTTCTATAATGACCCTAATTCTCCCAGATCCTCTCCTCCAGATTCTTCCTCTGTTTCCTAGATCCCCCTTGTTTAGTCCCATCACTTCTCCAGCTATAGCTTAGCAAGAAACCTTTGGCAGTCTGTGAAGCTTATGAACCCCTTTTCAGGATAATGTCGTAAAATGTAGAAAGTAAAGGAAATCAATTCTATTGAAAGAGTTTAAAAAAATGTTTTCAAAAGCAAATTCTGGAGCCCCAGGTGGAGACCCCTTGTCTTAGCACTATGACTCAGAGGGTCATCAGTCCAACGGAATAAATAAATAGTCTGGGCTCCTTAGGAACTTAGGAGTCATGTATCCTAAGGTTCAAATCCAGGACCTAGAGAGAGGGAGGCTGTAACTGCACCTTATAGTAGGCGCTGGAGACAGAAAGGCTGGGCAAGCCTTTCCACACTTTGGTTCATGGATGAACCCCAAAAGTTTTCCTGGAAGCTGGCACTCAAAGAAGTACTTTAACATAATTTTAATCACAATCACAACGATAGCATTTATGTAGCACTTTAAGGTTTGCAAAGCACCTTATTATATTATACACACTATAATGTACATTGTATGATATACATATAGGTATGTTTAATAAACATGTATAATATACAAATGTTATATAAAAGATCAAATATATAGCATGACATATAATTATAAATTATAATATATAACCATGTAATAATTGTATATTTATGCATAATTATGTAACACATAATTATATTTGTTGTTCAGGCACTTCAGTCATATCTGACACTTCATGATACTAAACTTTACATGAACTAAATAAAATGCAAGTGAAGTTACCATTGTCCCAGAATCCCATTCTTACAGCCCGACAAACTCCCTTAAATTCAACATGCCCTTATTGCCCAATACCCGAAAGCTGGCACCATTACGTAAGCTTCCATCCCAATGGAAAGTGTGCTGAGTATTCAGAAGATCCAGGCTCAAATCTGCCTGTGTATGGTGAACAAGTTATTTAACCTAACCAAATGAAGCAGCTGAATTACACTTCTCAGGTCCCTTTCAGGTTTAAAAACAAACAAACAACAACAACAACAATAAAAAAAAACCCATGATAAACCAGTTTCTTAAACTCCCCTTACACAAGAGTTTGTTTTTTTTTTTTTGGCCAGGCAATTGGGGTTAAGTCACTTGCCCAAGGTCACACAGCTAGTACATGTCAAGTGTTTGGTCTGAGGTCATATGTTGAACTCAGGTCCTCCTGACTTCAGGACCGGTATTCTATCCACTGCGCCATCTAGCTGCCCCATTAGGGTTTTCTTGACAAAGCCACTGGAGTGGTTTGCCATTTCCTTCTGCAGCTTATTTTTACATATGAGGAAACTGAGGTAGAGTTAAGTGACTTGGCCAGGGTCACACTGGTAGTAAGTGTCTGAGGCCAGATTTGAACTCAGGAAGATGAGCCCTCTTAATTCCAGGCCTGGCATTCTTATCTACTTTACCACCTACAGAATAAATATATTCTATATTATGGTTTATAATAAACATAAAAACGATATGATTATATATTATAAATATAACAAATAATACAATTTATAAATAATATAATAAATACATGATTATATATTGACTCATTTGATTTGTTCATCTTGTTCATCAGAAGGGAAAGGGAAGCTCCTTGGAACTCACTTGCAAACACAGCGGATTTCTTGGAAGTCCTAGAAGAGAGCTCTGTATTGTTAACTGTGTACTTACTCTTGTCTTGCTTTATATTTGACTACGATTCCCAGAGTACACCACTCCGGAAGTCAGCTCGCATTGCCTCTTGGGAGCAGTGGATGGCCTTTGCGCACGCGCAGGTCGTCGGGAGCGGACTCTTTCATCCCCCTCCCCCTTGCCCTCTCTTCCCTCGATTTAACTTTCCTCGCCTGGGTTCCGCGTTCATTCGTTTTCACGTCCGTCCGTCGGGGGCGCGCACGCAGTACGTGGCCGGCAGCGCCGGCGAGCGCGGGTCGCGTGGCGGTGCGTGGTTGCTAAGGGCGCCGAGGCCGCCAGCCCGGCAGGCCTGGGAGGAGTAGCGCGGAAGCAGGCACCGAAGCTGGGACGGAGTGGGGGCCAGCAAGGTGAGTGAGGCGGGGGCAGAGGCGAGGGCTGCCCCGGGGACGGACTCTCTCTATCCCGCTCTCCCTCCCTCGTGCCCTCCCTCTGTGCTTCCGCCACTTTCCCTCCCGGCCCCACGATCCCCTGCTCCCTTTCCCGCCAGTCCCGACCCCGAAGCGTGTGCCGTGTCCCCTGCCCCGCCCCCCAGCTCAGCCTCCCGTGCCCTTCCCCCCCTTCTCCCCTGCGGGGAGCTTCCCTCAGCCCCCCAGCCCCAGACGCCTCCCTCCCCGGACATTCCCCCTTCCCCCCTCCCGGCCTGCTCGGCCCTGCAGCCCCTGATGCTCCTGCCCCGGGGTCCCCCTCCCCCACCCCGCCGAGCCTCTGTGGCCGCCCCGGACCGCCATGTCTGTGTCTGCGGGGGGTTCTTTTTCCCTTTCCCCTCTTCCTCTCGCCAGGTGCCTGCCCGGTGCGGGGACTGTGCCTCATAAGAGCCAGGGGTCCCAGGACAATCAACAGTCCTGGAGCCTGTGTGGGAAGTGTTGGGGCAGGGGGAGAAAGAGCTAGGAAAGGGATTGGAAGGTTTCAAGAACTACACCCCTGCGAGCCCCAGATTCCCATTTCTCCTTTGGCAACTTCCCGTCCCCTACCCCTCATAACCCACGCTTTAAACTTGCCCGAAGAGGGGCACTCATCCCTGGCCTCTCCTAGGTCCCTTGGTTTCAGTTCTGGCAACTTTAGCCCCAACCAGAAAAGCAGAAAGGACGCCTTTCTGCCATCTCCCCACACCCTTGGACAAAGTTCCTTGTACTCTCCATTTAATGCTTCGAGAGTTTAGGTTTACAAAACAACTACGGCAAAAAGCTACTTACAAGGAGATTAGCAAAGTTTTGTTTTTCCTATTATGATAAGGAGGAGTAAGAAGACACACCTGGCTCCTTTGATTTCAGCTCAGAGTTAATTTTTTATTCCTACTGGTCAGTTCTGGTTTGCTGATGAAATGTATCCCCTTTTACATTTCCACCTACTAACTCTAAGAGTGTGAGTAGGAAGGTTTTCTCCCATTGCTGCTGTGCAACTCCAGGCACCGAAAAGAACAGACCTGGAGCAGCTTGTGTAAAGGGAGTTTAAGAAACTAGTTTATCATGGTTTTTTTTTTTTATTGTTGTTGTTGTTGTTGTTTGTTTTTAAACCTGAAAGGGACCTGAGAAATCTAATTCAGCTGCTTCATTTGGTTAGGTTAAATAATTTGTTCACCATACACAGGCAGATTTGAGCCTCGATCTTCTGAATACTCAGCACACTTTCCACTGGGATGGAAGCTTATGTAATGGTGCCAGCTTTCGGGTATTGGGCAATAAGGGCATGTTGAATTTAAGGGAGTTTGTCAGGCTGTAAGAGTGGGATTCTGGGACAGTGGTAACTTCACTTGCATTTTATTTAGTTCATGTAAAGTACTTTAGATACACTATTTTCTAATGTAGAATACTTTTATGAGAAAAGGAAGTTACTGACATACCTTATGGACTTAGAGTAATAGTAGAGTGCATAAAAGTATTTCTCAACTGTCCACATAACTAAGAAGCAGAGGAGTGGAGAAGAGTGTGACTGACCTACTTTTTTTTTTCTTTAAATCACCCACAAGACCTTGACAAATTAGGTTTTTCAGTCAGCCCTTTTTTAACCAGCTGGAATAAGGGTTTTTTGGGTCTTTTGGTATTGTTCACCTGGTTCCAAGTGCTCAGTGTTTGAGAATTTTGCTAGTGATGCTTTGAACCATCCTTCCTTCCTAAAGGGAGACTTCCATCTTATTCAGAACTCCTAAGATATAGATATGTCTGTGACTTTTGTATAGGAACCCATTTATTTGCTGAAGGAGAACATGAGAGTAGGCCTATCTACTAAAGGTTTTCATTTCCTTAGGGTCATAACTTCAAGCTAGGTTTCATTTCACAATTATTTCATGGCCTTGGAAGTTTCCCATAATGGCCTCCCTGACACATGATCAGCTGTTTTGGTCAATTAGCATGAATGCTAAGTAAAAGGAGTTTTCTCCATTGCTTTGAACTTTTTACTTTTACTTCTTGGCATGAATGCCACATTGCTTATTGCCTGCCCTCACCTACCCTACTCTCCAGACAAGGACTAAGAATCAGAGATGAGACTGGGGAGAGGTTATCTCATCCCTGAGATAGTGTAGGGTTAGGATCAGGAAAGCAATTCACCTTTTGATATCTAACTTTGGCTGTTTCCTTCTCAGTAATTTAGAGATTTACCTCCTGCAGCTCTGGTGCCTTAGTTTATTCCCTTTCTCTAGATTTGATGACTCATTAGAAAATCAAAGGTAGTATATTTTCTCCTGATGTCCCTGACCCATCTTTCCCATTTGGGCTTCTAGAAGCTAATTGCATTTTTTTTTACTACATGTACTTTCTAATTGGAGGAGAACCCTGGGAATTATCTTTCAAATAAAAATAGGACCTCATTCTCTTCCCTATCTTCCTCCATTTGACTCTCATCACCTCCAGGTAAGTCAATTCTGCCTTGACTATAAATACTAAACATTTTTCAGAGACCTTGTGGATTGCAGATTTTTTTTTCCCATTTTTTTTTTTTGTGTCCAGAGTTCCCCTGGTGACCTAGGAAAATACCTAGACAGAAGGGAAAGGAAACTTCAGATCCCAAGAGCCACACTCTCCAGTAATGTAGCAGAGTGATTTAATCAGTGGGTAATTACTCTCTAGAAAAAATATCTTGTCCCAGCTAGGCTGGACCTGGCCCCTGGAGACCAGTTTGTATAAGGAAACTGCAATGGATACTCTGTCTTAGGCTGCTGAGCACTCACTTTGACTCAAGTAGGAGACTTGAGTAATTTTCAGAACACTACACCCTTCATGGCCCAGAAAGGATTGGAGGACAAGGAATGTGTAGAGGTTCTATCTGAAGACTGGGGGGTTGACATGATTGTATAGATTCCTGAAGCTGATTTTATACTCCAGAGATTAATCTCATTCATCATCTTACTTTCATGTACTTCTTTATTCTCCTTCATTATCCCCTACTTCATTCAATCAACACATTTATTGAATGCCTCATATGTGCAGAGTTCTGATGTACACAAGAGTACCCGAAGAGAAAGTTGTACTAGTGTTTGCTATCAATCCTAACTGCCATGTACAATAGTGTTTCTATGAAAAAATTCATTCATTGTTCCAACTTTATGTTGATCAAAACACATTTCCTCCCACTCCCTCTAGTAGGAGTGGAGAACTTTTCTCCTCCCTGCCTAGCAGTGCAGAGAAGCCTGGAAAAGGAGAAAAAAGTGGGAGATGGGTATCTAGAGGGAGGGGTGGAAAGGAAGAGCAGACTTAGACTGTCATGAACATTTCCTTGTAGAAGAATAAAGCATGGACGTGCATCATGGAACTTGAGGTCGTCTAGTCTAACCTCTTCAGGGCATGGGTGAGAAAACTAAGGGCCAGGAAGGGCCAGTGATTTGACTAAGATCACGGAAGTAGCTTGCATCAAAGCCAGGACCTGGACCGACTCTCCCAACTCCCAGGCCAGTGCTTTTCCTCTTGTACTGCATGGGATGAGCAGGAGATGGGCCTGGGACTGGAGATGCTTCTGAAATTGGTGCTTAGGCTAGGGATGTGGCAGTGTTTGGAGCGACCTCTAAACTTTTTCCTCCCCTTACCATGGCTACTAACGCCATTTAAGGTTCACTTCTGGAATAGCTTGAGGTAAAAAGCCAGAAATTTGAGAGGAAGGAAACCCTGAATTTAGTCCAGAATGGAGAGGGAAAGAGAATTCCTGTGGCCACTGGGTCATCTAGTGGGATAGCTATTCTGGGGTGGCCATATGTAAAGGGCAAAGGTAAGTCAGGACTGCCCATACATGGAAAAATTTGACTGTAAAGCGCATCAGGTGAAAAGTGGTAAATGAATGGTATAGGCAATAGGTCCTTTTAAGTTCAGAGATCATGGTGGGCTCCAGCTCAGGAAAGACCTCGTGGAAGAAGAGGAATTTGAGCAGGACCTTCAGGAATGAGTAGGTATTGAGGGGGATGGTGGCCTTCCTTGGGTCTATCTCCAGTCATCCTCTCCACAGCTTTACTAAAATGAGTTTCCGAAAGCTCGACTCTGGTCGTGTCACTCCTTTACTCTATAAATAGTACTGGTTCCTTGTTGACTCAAGATTCAGTTTTTTAAAAACAATATTTATCTCATCCTTCTAAAATGTATATTTTTTGTGTTTTATGATGTACAGTAGTTCACATATATAATTTATAAATAAGTAAACATACACACTTGGGCTCGCATCTTCAAACATTTCTTAGCAATCAGGATGTATGATCCAAGAAGTTTGGAGACCATTGTTTTAGATGCTTCCCTTCCTTCCAGGCTCAGCCCCTACCCCTGGCGCTTTGGCCTAGGCTGATGGGACAAAATAATTTTACTTTGTTCCGTGAAGATGCAAAGGGCCACAGTGGATTCTGTAGCGGCTGTGCTATCCTGGCCATAGTAGCTCTGGAAGTATAGGCTTAGAATTCCATGTTATATCACTGGAAAGAAGCCTGAGATAAAATGTTACTTTCTGAAGAAGGGCTGACATCTGAAGAAGGAAAGTGAATGCCTCTGGGAATTGGTTGAAACAAGTGGTTTTCAGGCATGTGGTTATCAGGAATCGGTCAGTGTACATTTCCCTTACTATCAGAGCAGTTGGTGAGCCTGGGGTGTGTGGCCACTAGGTATCATATCCTGAGCAAGGTGAGGGTGGACCTTTTTCCTCCCTCTGTACTTCTCACACTGAGCACATTCCTCCCCAACTCCCCCCCCCCCCACCCGTTCTTCCAAGTCTTTCTAATTTATGGAGCAGGTCCTGGGTACCCCAGGCAGTCACAACTGTGACACTCCGCAACTTCCTGGAGGACCTCTAAGAGCAGATTATATGATCTTCTACCTCCTCTATTTTTTATTTTAAAATGGGCTGCAGCAGCAGCCTGGGGAACTGAGGCTCTGCCTTG